CGCTGACGTGGACTGTAGCGGCGCTGACGTGGACTGTAGCGGCGCTGACGTGGACTGTAGCGGCGCTGACGTGGACTGTAGCGCGCTGACGTGGACTGTAGCGATGACGTGGACTGTGTTGGCGATGACGTGGACTGTAGCGGCGCTGACGTGGACTGTAGCGATGATGTGGAAAGTGTCAGCGATGACGTGGACTGTAGCGGCGCTGACGTGGACTATAACGATGACGTGGACTGTGTCAGCGATGACGTGGACTGTAACGATGACGTGGACTGTATCAGCGATGACGTGGACTGTGTCAGCGATGACGTGGACTGTGTCAGGGATGACGTGGACTGTGGCGGTGATGACGTGGACTGTAGCGTGGACTGTAGCGGCGCTGACGTGGACTGTAGCGGCGCTGACGTGGACTGTAGCGGCGCTGACGTGGACTGTAGCGGCGCTGACGTGGACTGTAGCGCGCTGACGTGGACTGTAGCGATGACGTGGACAGTGTCGACGATGACGTGGAATGCAGCGATGACGTGGACTGTGTCAACGATGCCGTGGACTGTAGCGATGACGTGGACTGTGTCAGCGATGACGTGGACTGTATCGACGATGACGTGGACTGTAGCGACGACGTGGACTGTGTCAGCGATGTCGTTGACTGTAGCGATGACATGGACTCTGTCAGCGATGACGTGGACTTTGTCGACGATGACGTGGACTGTAGCGATGACGCGGATTGTGTCAACGATGACGTGGACTGTGTCGACGATTACGTGGACCGTATTGATGATGACGTGGAATGTAGCGATGACGTGGACTGTGTCAGCGATGACGTGGGCTGTAGCGGCGATGACGTGGACTGTAGCGGTGATGACGTGGACTGTAGCGGCGATGACGTGGACTGTGTCAGCAATGACGCGAATAGAGGCTGCGATGACGTGGACAGAGGCAGCGATACGCCTCGCCACCCACAAAGGTGAGTTGGAACAACTTGTTTCACTGCTGTTTGCTTCACCGTTGTTTCAGTGTTGTTTGCTTCACCGTTGTTTCACTGCTGTTAGCTTCATCATTGTTCCACTGCTGCTTGCTTCACCGTTGCTTCACTGCTGTTAGCTTCACCGTTGCTTCACTACTGTTAGCTTCACCGTTGCTTCGCTGTTGTTAGCTTCACTGCTGTTAGCTTTACTGTTGCTTCACTGCTATTAGCTTCACCGTTGCTTCACTGCTGTTAGCTTCACCGTTGCTTCACTGCTGTTAGCTTCACCGTTGCTTCACTGCTGTTAGCTTCACCGTTGCTTCACTGCTGTTAGCTTCACCGTTGATTCACTGCTGTTAGCTTCACCGTTGCTTCACTACTGTTAGCTTCACCGTTGCTTCACTGTTGTTAGCTTCACCGTTGCTTCACTGCTGCTTGCTTCACCGTTGCTTCACTGCTGCTTGCTTCACCGTTGCTTCACTGCTGTTAGCTTCACCGTTGCTTCACTGCTGCTTGCTTCACCGTTGCTTCACTGTTGCTTGCTTCACCGTTGCTTCACTGTTGTTTGCTTCGCCGTTGTTTCACTGCTGTTTGCTGCACTGCTGCTTCACTGTTGTTTGCTTCGCCGTTGTTTCACTGCTGTTTGCTTCATTGTTGCTTCACTGCTGTTCAACATTTCAAAAGCAGCAAACCGAGCCATCATATGAGAGCCAAGCACACTTGCAGGGTCCATCCTTTCCCTTTTATCCACAGTAAAAGCCGCTGGCAAGAGTCGTACAGATACGAATCACATAGCAGCTCTTAGTACGCGCGTAACAAGCATTTCAAGCTCTGCCATCCGTGGCATGATGATCCATGGGGTACACCCTCTGCCTCTTATCCAACTGTTTTGCTGCCTCACTTGCTAGTACCGTAATAGGGCACCCACCAACCAACCCCACAAATCACGCAGTTTCCAACACCAAATGTGACAGTCCCAGAGACTCAAGAATTTGATATGTTTTTTTGGTCGGCTCGATCCCCAACTCCTTCATATCCTTCAGCACCCCGTGAATGTCCGAAACCAGACGCTTCCAGGAAAGGTCCTCTTCCTTGTCCAACAGTTGTCCCTCCTCCCCAGCATCCCTCGACTCCTTATCCTTCTCCCACCGATTCACTATAGTCACAATTAGGTCGCGGAAAAGCCGCGGATCAGTCATCTTATAGAGGGTACGAGACAGGCCGATGATCTCCTTCACTCGAACCACATCGCCCTTGTTCCGGGCGGGGATGAGCACTTGTATCAAGGAAGAGAAGGGCAGCTTCTGGTCGTTCCTCTGCATTCCCACGGCTGCTGCTTCCCGCAGGGCCCTCATAGCACCCTCCTCATCGCCGGCCAGCTACAAAGGAGATACAGAACAGTGGGATAAGGTGGGGTACGGTGGGGCTGCTGCTTCACGCAGGGCCCTCATGGCTCCCTCCTCTTCGCCTGCCAGGCACACAGGTGGGGAGGAAAAGTACGGTGGGATACAGTGAGATATGGTGGGATACGGTGGGGTATGGTGGGCTTACTGCTTCCCGCAGGGCCCTCATGGCACCCTCCTCATCACCTGCCAGGCACACAGAGAATGGGGTACAGTGCGGTACAGTGGAGTATTCCCAGCCCCCACCCCACCATCATACCATCCCTTGCTCAACACGCTAACATCATCTGATTTCAGAAACGCCTGAATGAGGCGCACAAATGTCCTGGGGTCACTCGGCTGCGCCCACCGCTGCATCGACTGCAGCTCTGCTGAGATCTTATATGCCTTGCCCCTGCCCTCCCTACCCTACCCACCCTCCTCTGTGCAGCCAACACTCCTCCCTCCTGCGAGCGACTCACCAGCTTTCAGGAAAGCGGTAATGAGGCGCACGTATGTCCCGGGGTCCTTCGGTCGACCCCACCGCTGCATCGACTGCAGAAGTGCAGGGATCTTGTCGGGCCTGCCCGCCTGACTGAGAGCCGCCAGGAGCACGTTGAAGGATGCAGTGGTGGGGGGCATGAGCGCACACATCTCATTAAATGCCTGGTGGGAGGAGCGGAGGGATGCATGGGGCAGGGGAACAGGGAAAAGGGAACAGGGAATAGGCAGCAGGGAACAGGTTAAGGAGGGCTCAGGGAAGACACTGCAGCACTACAGGGATCTTGTCGGGCCTACCCACCTGACTCAGAGCCGCCAGGAGCACGTTGAAGGATGCAGTGGTGGGGGGCATGAGCGCACACATCTCATTAAATGCCTGGTGGGAGGAGCGGAGGGATGCATGGGGCAGGGGAACAGGGAAAAGGGAACAGGGAATAGGCAGCAGGGAACAGGTTAAGGAGGGCTCAGGGAAGACACTGCAGCACTACAGGGATCTTGTCGGGCCTACCCGCCTGACTCAGAGCCGCCAGAAGCACGTTGAAGGATGCAGTGGTGGGGGGCATGAGCGCACACATCTCATTAAATGCCTGGTGGGGGGGAGGGGGGATGGAGAAAGATGAGGGAGGGGCACAGAGTGTTGGGGGGGCTTTGGGTCATGGTGTTGAGGGATGCAGTGGTGGGGGGCATGAGCGCACACATCTCGTTGAATGCCTGAGATGCAGAGGGGGGAATGGCAGGGGAAGGGAAAGGATCGGGGAGCACGTTGAATGATGCAGTGGTGGGGGGCAGAGCGCACACATCTCATTGAATGCCTGAGAGGGGAGGGCGGGATGTGGGGGAGAGCGGCGTGCATAGGGGGTAGGGGTAGGCTTTGAGTCATGGCGTTGAAGGATGGCGTGGTTGGAGGCATGAGCGCACACATCTCGTTGACACCTGATGGGAGGATGGGGAGGAAGGAATGGGGGGAGGAGGAGGAGGGGGATGGGAGACAGGTAGTCTCCGAGTCGGGGTGTTGAATAATGGAGTGGCGGGGGGCATGAGCGCACACATCTCAAGTTCGCTGCTACTCCCATTATGAATCTTGTCTCAAGCCTGTGCACCATTCCTCGTCCTATTGAACACCTTGTCTCCTCGCTCCCTCCTCTCTCCTCCTCTCTCCTCCTTCTCAAAGTCTCCCGCTCGGCTGTGCACCTCGATTCGAGAATGGTTCATGAATGCATGCTCCCTTACACACCTTCCCTCCTCGCAACTCCTCTCACCTGCTCCCTTGCACACCTTCCCTCCTCGCAACTCCTCTCACCTGCTCCCTTGCACACCTTCCCTCCTCTCTCCTCACCTGCTCTGCCTTGTCCAAATCTCCCGCTCGGCTGTGCACCTCAATCCGAGAGTGGTACATGCTCCTGAACGCAAGGAGAGGGGGAAGCATGGGCAAGGAAGACATGGGAAAGCGTTCGGCTGTGCACCTCAATCCGAGAGTGGTACATGCTCCTGAACGCAAGGAGAGGGGGAAGCATGGGCAAGGAAGACATGGGAAAGCGTTCGGCTGTGCACCTCAATCCGAGAGTGGTACATGCTCCTATAAGCAAGGAGCCAGGGAAGCGAGGGCAAGGGGGGTTGAGGTTGGGGAAGGGAAAAGAAGAGGGAGTAAGGAACACAGGAGGGACAGCGGAACCCAAGCAGAGTGAGTGGTGCATGATCGAACAAAAAAGAGAGTGGGAAAAGGGTGGGGGGTTTCAACTTGAAAGTTTGGAAAGAAAGAGAGCTGGGAAAGGTTTGGGAGGGTGAGCGGGTGGGGGGGTTTCAACTTGCAAGTTTGGCAGGGCAAGAAAAAGAGCTGGGAAAGGGGTGGGGGGTTTCAACTTGAAAGTTTGGAAAGAAAGAGAGCTGGGAAAGGTTTGGGAGGGTGAGCGGGTGGGGGGGTTTCAACTTGCAAGTTTGGAAGGGCAAAAAAAAGAGCTGGGAAAGGTTTGGGAGGGTGGGCGGGTGGGGTGGAATCAACTTGCAAGGTGTGGAGGAAGAGGAAGAGATGGGGCTAAGGAACACACTATCGAGCAATATCCCCCACCCGCTCCCCCACCCCCCACCCGCTCCCCCACCCCCCACCCACACCCCCACCCCCACCCACACAGAACTCAGAAAGTAAATCTCACCTGTCAAGAGGCAACCCGGCCTGCTTCACCTCTTCACACACTTTGGAAAACCTCTCCACCGCTCCTCGTTTCGCATATCGCCCCATCAGGGACCAATAGGTCTTCACATTCAGCCTTTCTCCTGCTTCCTTCATCGCCTCGATACACAGGTCCGTTTTTTCAAACTGCCCGGCGAGCGCGTATGCGCCAATCAGGATGTTGTACGTCACGCCGCTGGGCTGCCCGCCGTCTGCCCGCATGCGCGCAAGATAGGCCTCCATTTTTTCGATCTGCCCGAGCCTGGCGAGGCTGGCTAGAACGACGTTGTAGGCCACTTCGTCAGGCATCATTCCCTGTGGAGTGTGGAATGGAGTGGTCCGGTGTGGTGTGCAGTAATGAGGTGTGGAGTGGTGTGGAGTGGTGTCATGTGGAGTGTGGTGTATCACATATCATACGAATTGCAGTGGTGGTGAATAGCGCTCTCACACACACACAAGAGCCCGGGCCTGCTGAGGCTGGATAGAATGATGTTGTATACCAGTTCGTCAGGCATCGTGCCATGATGCATTCGATCGAATCACTCTTTTCTCGTTATAAGCACCTTAATCTTCTCGATCTACTCACCATCTTCTCGTTAGAATCACCTTCTCGTCGTTGAACTTATCTTCTCGTTACAATCACCTTGTGCTCCTTATACGGACCTTATTCTCATCACAATCACTTTCCTATCTTTATCAACACCTTATCCTCGTTATAATCACCTTCTCGTTACACTCACCTTCTCCTTCATTTCTTGCAGCAACAAATCAACATCCCCCAGCACTTTCTCCAACCGCTCCTTCCTGGAACTTTCCTTCCCCTCCCCAACCTCAAACCAATCCGCATCATTCCAACCCCCCTCCCCTTCCTCCCCTCCCCCTCCCCCTCCCTCCTCCTCATCTCCTCCCCCTTCCCCCTCTCCCTCGCTCGTTACTGTCACATCTGCTCCATTCCAGGCAGCCCCTTTTGTTATAATCTCCTGCTCGGTTAGCAACGCTTGAAGCTTCGACCGATACGAGGCATTTTCCGCGGGTACCCCTTGATTACGGAGCCATTCCAGTTCTTCCCCTAGCTTGTGCGTCCGCCCGCGCCTGGCAAAATGGTGTAGCACTCCAACATACACCTGAGCGGGCAGATAAAAAAACAAAACAATTGGGTTAGGAAGTGAAAATACTGCTACAAGGTGAAAAACAACATTGCTCAACCACACTCAATCCAAATCAACTCTAAACCCCACCCACCTTTTCTTTGCAGAACTCCTCAGGGAAGGAGAGGAACATCTCTCGAACGGTCCCCACCGCATTGCACCGCGCAGCACAGGCAAGGGCGAGTTGGTAATCAAGGTAGGTGAGGGGAAAGCCTGATGAGGCGATGAGCCAATTAGAGAGCTGGGGGGGTGGCGGGGGGAAGGGGGGAAGGCAGGGGGAACGGGGAAAGGAGCAACAGGCGAGGGCGGGTTGGTAGTCAAGGTAGGTGAGGGGAAAGCCTGATGAGGTGATCAGCCATTGAGAGAGCTGGGGGGAGGTGGGAGGGGGAAGAAGGGTGGGGCAGGGGAAGGGGAGCGGAGGGAAGGGGGGAAGGGGCAACAGGCGAGGGGGGGTTGGTAATCAAGGTAGGTGGTAGGTGAGGGGAAAGCCCGAAGAGGAGATGAGCCAATGAGAGAGCTGGGGGAAGGGAGGGATCGAGGTGGGTGAGGGGAAAGCCTGATGAGGAGATGAGCCAATGAGAGAGGAGGGAGAGAGATGGGTGGGAATGAGCGGGTGAGAGAAAATAAAGGAGTGGTGGGTGGAGAGGGGGACTGGGCAACAGGCAAGGCGGGGTGAGGGAGAGGAAAGCCAAAGAAAAGTGCAGCTCGGTGAGAAAGGAGGGGGTGACGGGGTGAGTGAGTGGAAAGATTTCCTTTTCCCGGTGTGCACACCGGCTTTTGAGGCGCCCCAAATGTTTCTAGACAAGGGGGTGAGGGAGAGGAAAGCCAAAGAAAGCGCTGTTCGGTGGGTAAAAGGCTTGGTTTTGCTCTGTGTGCATATGGGCTGGAACAACGGAATTGAGTTTGATAAGGTGCCTCAGAAAGAGACGAGGCTTGTTGCTCACCTCTGCTGCTGATGAAGGCCTCGCAAGTATGATTCCCGTGCGAAGCCGAAACATGTTTGCCTAAGTCTAGAGTTTAAATTGAGCTGTATGTTCGGATCTTACGTGAACGTTTTCAAGGGTTACAATTTTCACTAAGGGTACGTCGTTCTTAGCCTGTGTCAAGTTTCCTGACACAAGGCTATCGACGGCTCCGATCGTTCCACGTCATCATCAATCAAATCCAAACCCTTCACAGCTTCATGTCAGCCTGCCTGACATGGGCTAAGAACGTACCCTAAGTGACTATCACGACGTCTCTTTGCTAGAACCATTCTTAGTGAGTACCCTAAGAACCATTCTTCCTACTGTTGCCCTTCTTCGTGAGCAATACCTACTTCTGCTGCCCTATCCTACTACTGATCAGAAGGAGGCGGGGCTTGTTGCTCACCTCTGCTGCTTTTGCTCGGTAAGCGTATGGCTGGCAGCGACGAATGGCCTGTAGATGGATGGGAGAGAGAGCAAGGGAGAGAGAAAGAAAGATAAAAGGTGAGAAGAGAGTGAGAGGGATTTAGAGGGTGCGAGGGAGGGTGAAAGGGTGGGCATATGGGTTGCAGCGGCGGATGGCCTGTGGAGGGACGGGAGAGAGAGAAAAGGTGAGAAGAGAGTGAGAGAAGTGATATTTAGAGGGTGGGAGGGAGAGTGAAAGGGTAAGCATATGGGTTGCAGCGACGGATGGCCTGTCGATGGACGGGAGAGAGAAAGAAAGAAGACAGAAGGGAGAAGAGAGTGAGAAAAGAGATAAGAAAATCCGGTGGGCATATGGGCTGCAGCTATGGATGGCAAGCAGCGGGATTGGATAGGGAGGAAGTGAGAGAGAAAAAAAGAGAGAGGAGAGAAGCAAAACCAATTCGTGGGCATATGGATGGTAAGCAGCGGGATGGGATGGGATAGAGAGGAAGTGACAGAGGTGTTACCACAAGAATCGTCAGCACGAAGCCGTGCACTACAAGCAACCACAGCCAGTCGTACCGCAACACAACACCACCGCACAACAATACACTGCACCGTGTCACACCACACTGCACCGCACTGCACCGCACTCACCCACAGCAGCAGCTCCTTATCCAGCAGCCCTCCCGCCATCCTCCACGCCTCAATGGCCGACAGCACAGAGGCGCTGCCCCAGGGAGCTCTCACACACCAATAAGCACCATACACAAGTGCAGCCGTACCGCACTGTACCACACTGCACCCACTCACCCACAGCAGCAGCTCCTTGTCCAGCACTCCTCCCGCCATCCTCCACGCCTCAATGGCCGACATGACAGAGGCGCTGCCCCAGGGAGCTCTCACACACCACTAAGCACCATACGCAAGGGCAGTCGTACTACACTGCACCGGACTGCACCGCATTGCACCGCACTCACCCACAGCAGCAGCTCCTTGTCCAGCACACCTCCCGCCATCCTCCACGCCTCAATGGCCGGCAGGACCGAGGCGCGTCGCCCCAAGCAAACACGCACCTACAGCCAGTCAAACCACACCACACTGCACCACACCGGACCGCTTCACACCAGACTGCACCGCACTCACCCACAGCAGCAGCTCCTTGTCCAGCAGCCCTCCCGCCATCCTCCACGCGTCAATGGCCGGCAGGACAGGATTGTTGCTTCGCACACGGCTGATAACACCCCACAGCTGCCCCCTGCGCACTGAACGAGATGGAGGCGACGAGAAGGGGAAGTGGAGGGGAGTGTGGGTAAGGTAATTATGATATGAGTTTCCGGCAGGACAGGATTGTTGCTGCGCACACGACTTATAACGCCCCACAGCTGCCCCCTGCGCACTGAAAGAGGTTTGGGATGTCGAGTTTAGGGTTTAAGGAGAACAGGAAGAGTTCCCGCATGGAGGAAGTGTAAGGAGGAAGCATGGGTAGAGGCGGTCCCGCCATCCGCGTGTAGTGAGTCGAGTTTTGAGTCGACTCAAAACTCGACTCACTACAACAGGAAGAGCTGGGGAGTGTAAGGAGGAAGCATGGATGGGTAGAGGCATTGCCGCCATCCGCCATCCTCCGCGCCTCATGACAGAGTCGTTGCTGCGCACACGGCTGATAACACCCCGCAGCTGCCCCCTGCGCACTGAAAGGGGTTTGGGGGGGCATTGGGAGCGTGGTTTGGATGGCCGGCAGGACAGAGCCATTGCTGCGCCCACGGCTGATAACACCCCACAGCTGCCCCCTGCGCACTGAAAGGGGTTTGGGGGGGCATTGGGAGCGTGGTTTGGATGGCCGGCAGGACAGAGTCATTTCTGCGCACACGGCTGATAACACACCACAGCTGCCCCCTGCGCACTGAAAGGGGTTTGGGGGGGCATTGGGAGCGTGGTTTGGATGGCCGGCAGGACAGAGTCATTTCTGCGCACACGGCTGATAACACACCACAGCTGCCCCCTGCGCACTGAAAGGGGTTTGGGGGGGCATTGGGAGCGTGGTTTGGATGGCCGGCAGGACAGAGTCATTGCTGCGCACACGGCTGATAACACCCCACAGCTGCCCCCTGCGCACTGAAAGGGGTTTGGGGGGGCATTGGGAGCGTGGTTTGGATGGCCGGCAGGACAGAGCCATTTCTGCGCACACGGCTGATAACACACCACAGCTGCCCCCTGCGCACTGAAAGGGGTTTGGGGGGGCATTGGGAGCGTGGTTTGGATGGCCGGCAGGACAGAGCCATTGCTGCGCCCACGGCTGATAACACCCCACAGCTGCCCCCTGCGCACTGAAAGGGGTTTGGGGGGGCATTGGGAGCGTGGTTTGGATGGCCGGCAGGACAGAGTCATTTCTGCGCACACGGCTGATAACACACCACAGCTGCCCCCTGCGCACTGAAAGGGGTTTGGGGGGGCATTGGGAGCGTGGTTTGGATGGCCGGCAGGACAGAGTCATTTCTGCGCACACGGCTGATAACACACCACAGCTGCCCCCTGCGCACTGAAAGGGGTTTGGGGGGGCATTGGGAGCGTGGTTTGGATGGCCGGCAGGACAGAGTCATTTCTGCGCACACGGCTGATAACACCCCACAGCTGCCCCCTGCGCACTGAAAGGGGTTTGGGGGGGCATTGGGAGCGTGGTTTGGATGGCCGGCAGGACAGAGTCATTGCTGCGCACACGGCTGATAACACCCCACAGCTGTCCCCTGCGCACTGAAGGGGTTTGGGCTTTTGGGGTTTAAAGTTGAAGGTACAGGGTTTGGGTTAAGATAAGTGTGGTTTCCGGCATATCTAAAGCGTTGCCGCGCACCCGACTGATCACGCCCCACAGCTGCCCCCTGCGCACTGAACAAAAAACCTGTTTCGGGGTTTGGGGTTTAAGGAGAAGAGTTGTGGAGGCATGGTTTAACCGGCCAACATGACAGATGTGCCGCCGAGCAGCCCACTGATAAGGCCCCACAGCTGCCCCCTGCGCCCTGAAAGGGGATTGGGATTCAGGTTCAGGGTTTTGGGTTAAGGGCAACAATTGGGGAGTGCAAGGAAGCAAGGTTAGCCCGCCCAGTATGACAGATGAGTGGCCCGGCCAGCAAGGGAAGACTTGGGGGAAAAACGGGAGACTTGGGGTTTTAGGTGACTTTTGAGTCGACTCATAAGTCACCTGGCTAGCTTGGCCAGTATGACAGATGAGTGGCCCAGCCAGCAAGGGAAGACTTGGGGAAAAACGGGAAACTTGGGGTTTTTAGAAACATATGGCTTGAGAGTTCTCGAGTTGGGGGTTTAAGGCTCCAAAGGGAGGGGGAGAGCTGGAAAGAGAAGAGAACATGTGCCAGCACCTCTAGTCATTGCTGCTGTTTCAGAGCCGCCTGGGAACATATGGCTTGAGAGTTCTCGAGTTGAGGGTTTAGGGCTCCAAAGGGAGGGCGAGAGCTGGAGAGAGAAGAGAACAGGTGCCAGCACCTCTAGTCATTGCTGTTTTTGAGTTGACTCAAAAACAGTTCTCAAGTTGGGGGTTTAGGGCTCCAAAGGGAGGGCGAGAGCTGGAGAGAGAAGAGAACAGGTGCCAGCACCTCTAGTCATTGCTGTTTTTGAGTTGACTCAAAAACAGTTCTCAAGTTGGGGGTTTAGGGCTCCAAAGGGAGGGCGAGAGCTGGAGAGAGAAGAGAACAGGTGCCAGCACCTCTAGTCATTGCTGTTTTTGAGTTGACTCAAAAACAGTTCTCAAGTTGGGGGTTTAGGGCTCCAAAGGGAGGGCGAGAGCTGGAGAGAGAAGAGAACAGGTGCCAGCACCTCTAGTCATTGCTGTTTTTGAGTTGACTCAAAAACAGTTCTCAAGTTGGGGGTTTAGGGCTCCAAAGGGAGGGCGAGAGCTGGAGAGAGAAGAGAACAGGTGCCAGCACCTCTAGTCATTGCTGTTTTTGAGTTGACTCAAAAACAGTTCTCAAGTTGGGGGTTTAGGGCTCCAAAGGGAGGGCGAGAGCTGGAGAGAGAAGAGAACAGGTGCCAGCACCTCTAGTCATTGCTGTTTTTGAGTTGACTCAAAAACAGTTCTCAAGTTGGGGGTTTAGGGCTCCAAAGGGAGGGCGAGAGCTGGAGAGAGAAGAGAACAGGTGCCAGCACCTCTAGTCATTGCTGTTTTTGAGTTGACTCAAAAACAGTTCTCAAGTTGGGGGTTTAGGGCTCCAAAGGGAGGGCGAGAGCTGGAGAGAGAAGAGAACAGGTGCCAGCACCTCTAGTCATTGCTGTTTTTGAGTTGACTCAAAAACAGTTCTCAAGTTGGGGGTTTAGGGCTCCAAAGGGAGGGCGAGAGCTGGAGAGAGAAGAGAACAGGTGCCAGCACCTCTAGTCATTGCTGTTTTTGAGTTGACTCAAAAACAGTTCTCAAGTTGGGGGTTTAGGGCTCCAAAGGGAGGGCGAGAGCTGGAGAGAGAAGAGAACAGGTGCCAGCACCTCTAGTCATTGCTGTTTTTGAGTTGACTCAAAAACAGTTCTCAAGTTGGGGGTTTAGGGCTCCAAAGGGAGGGCGAGAGCTGGAGAGAGAAGAGAACAGGTGCCAGCACCTCTAGTCATTGCTGTTTTTGAGTTGACTCAAAAACAGTTCTCAAGTTGGGGGTTTAGGGCTCCAAAGGGAGGGCGAGAGCTGGAGAGAGAAGAGAACAGGTGCCAGCACCTCTAGTCATTGCTGTTTTTGAGTTGACTCAAAAACAGTTCTCAAGTTGGGGGTTTAGGGCTCCAAAGGGAGGGCGAGAGCTGGAGAGAGAAGAGAACAGGTGCCAGCACCTCTAGTCATTGCTGTTTTTGAGTTGACTCAAAAACAGTTCTCAAGTTGGGGGTTTAGGGCTCCAAAGGGAGGGCGAGAGCTGGAGAGAGAAGAGAACAGGTGCCAGCACCTCTAGTCATTGCTGTTTTTGAGTTGACTCAAAAACAGTTCTCAAGTTGGGGGTTTAGGGCTCCAAAGGGAGGGCGAGAGCTGGAGAGAGAAGAGAACAGGTGCCAGCACCTCTAGTCATTGCTGTTTTTGAGTTGACTCAAAAACAGTTCTCAAGTTGGGGGTTTAGGGCTCCAAAGGGAGGGCGAGAGCTGGAGAGAGAAGAGAACAGGTGCCAGCACCTCTAGTCATTGCTGTTTTTGAGTTGACTCAAAAACAGTTCTCAAGTTGGGGGTTTAGGGCTCCAAAGGGAGGGCGAGAGCTGGAGAGAGAAGAGAACAGGTGCCAGCACCTCTAGTCATTGCTGTTTTTGAGTTGACTCAAAAACAGTTCTCAAGTTGGGGGTTTAGGGCTCCAAAGGGAGGGCGAGAGCTGGAGAGAGAAGAGAACAGGTGCCAGCACCTCTAGTCATTGCTGTTTTTGAGTTGACTCAAAAACAGTTCTCAAGTTGGGGGTTTAGGGCTCCAAAGGGAGGGCGAGAGCTGGAGAGAGAAGAGAACAGGTGCCAGCACCTCTAGTCATTGCTGTTTTTGAGTTGACTCAAAAACAGTTCTCAAGTTGGGGGTTTAGGGCTCCAAAGGGAGGGCGAGAGCTGGAGAGAGAAGAGAACAGGTGCCAGCACCTCTAGTCATTGCTGTTTTTGAGTTGACTCAAAAACAGTTCTCAAGTTGGGGGTTTAGGGCTCCAAAGGGAGGGCGAGAGCTGGAGAGAGAAGAGAACAGGTGCCAGCACCTCTAGTCATTGCTGTTTTTGAGTTGACTCAAAAACAGTTCTCAAGTTGGGGGTTTAGGGCTCCAAAGGGAGGGCGAGAGCTGGAGAGAGAAGAGAACAGGTGCCAGCACCTCTAGTCATTGCTGTTTTTGAGTTGACTCAAAAACAGTTCTCAAGTTGGGGGTTTAGGGCTCCAAAGGGAGGGCGAGAGCTGGAGAGAGAAGAGAACAGGTGCCAGCACCTCTAGTCATTGCTGTTTTTGAGTTGACTCAAAAACAGTTCTCAAGTTGGGGGTTTAGGGCTCCAAAGGGAGGGCGAGAGCTGGAGAGAGAAGAGAACAGGTGCCAGCACCTCTAGTCATTGCTGTTTTTGAGTTGACTCAAAAACAGTTCTCAAGTTGGGGGTTTAGGGCTCCAAAGGGAGGGCGAGAGCTGGAGAGAGAAGAGAACAGGTGCCAGCACCTCTAGTCATTGCTGTTTTTGAGTTGACTCAAAAACAGTTCTCAAGTTGGGGGTTTAGGGCTCCAAAGGGAGGGCGAGAGCTGGAGAGAGAAGAGAACAGGTGCCAGCACCTCTAGTCATTGCTGTTTTTGAGTTGACTCAAAAACAGTTCTCAAGTTGGGGGTTTAGGGCTCCAAAGGGAGGGCGAGAGCTGGAGAGAGAAGAGAACAGGTGCCAGCACCTCTAGTCATTGCTGTTTTTGAGTTGACTCAAAAACAGTTCTCAAGTTGGGGGTTTAGGGCTCCAAAGGGAGGGCGAGAGCTGGAGAGAGAAGAGAACAGGTGCCAGCACCTCTAGTCATTGCTGTTTTTGAGTTGACTCAAAAACAGTTCTCAAGTTGGGGGTTTAGGGCTCCAAAGGGAGGGCGAGAGCTGGAGAGAGAAGAGAACAGGTGCCAGCACCTCTAGTCATTGCTGTTTTTGAGTTGACTCAAAAACAGTTCTCAAGTTGGGGGTTTAGGGCTCCAAAGGGAGGGCGAGAGCTGGAGAGAGAAGAGAACAGGTGCCAGCACCTCTAGTCATTGCTGTTTTTGAGTTGACTCAAAAACAGTTCTCAAGTTGGGGGTTTAGGGCTCCAAAGGGAGGGCGAGAGCTGGAGAGAGAAGAGAACAGGTGCCAGCACCTCTAGTCATTGCTGTTTTTGAGTTGACTCAAAAACAGTTCTCAAGTTGGGGGTTTAGGGCTC